CCAAATTTACCTAAAAATAATAAAAAAATGATTTTGAGATAATTTTTTATTATATTTTGATATAATTTAACATATTATTTAAATTATTAATTTTTTTTATTTATAATAATTTATGATACTCAATATATTTATTTATTAAACAATATATAAAAATTATATTAAAAAAATATAAAAATTTTGTCTGCAGCATCTCCCAAAAATAGTCATTATCACAAAACGTCACTTTAATCATTTTTCGTTTTTCTCTTTCATTATTATTTTTTTATTTTTTTATTTTTTCATGCTGTACTTTTTATTTGATAATAGCATATGAAAGAAATTAGAAAATATATCACAAGTCTTCTTACTTTCTTACGCTACACATTTGATTTCGCACGCCATCTTATTTGATTTGTTGTCAAGCACCGTCCGGTCTCCGGTGGGTGAACTTTGCCGGAAAAGGCCGAGAGGGGATTCCGGGAAGGAAGACGGAGAAGAAGTAGCAGCATCAGCTAGGGCATTCTAGTCCTTCGATTTCACTACCGCTGGAACTTCCATGCTCGCCTTTTTCATCAGCAGCCGTACCGGAATCCACTGATTTTTATCCAGGGGGCGCGGCGGGTCCTGCTCTGCAATGGCAGTGCCTCCCTCCAAAGATGCTCTCTCCGTCACGGCCATCGCTGGCCTCACCTTCTTTTCTGCCACTTTCTACACCACTCTTTGGTAAACAATTTGATCAAATCACGGCGGTTGAGATTCGTCGGACAATCTATAGATGAGAGCTCTTCGGCGAAGTCAAACTTCATCGTCGTCACCAAACTCGCCGTCTTCGTCTTCTTCTTCGTCATCTGCGTCGTCGTCGTGGATTCATTTGCGTTCGGTTCTGTTCGTTGTTACTTCCTCGCCTACTTCTTCTTGTTCCTCTTCTGATCGAAGGTGAGTTCTCTCTCTCTGGTTACACGCCAACTACTGCTTTGACAACAGATGGAATTTATTAATAGTTGCTAATTTCGATTCAGATCCCGATCTTCTGTCAATTTTTGTTTCAGTGCCTATTTTTGCTTCAATCCAATTGTTCTTGTTAGTTTCATTTTGCAATATTTTCTTGCGATTGCTTTCAATAATTTTTTGTTTTGTATTTTGGCCGTAGTTTTTGTTTTGTTGAATTTAGGGTTTCTGCATCTACTTTCTGAATTTGTTCATATGCGGTATAAGCTGTCAATTTTGTTGCTAAAGAATTTTTTTTTTTTTGAAAAAAAAAAATTACTATTCCTGGCTTTGCGTATCTTCCCTTTGGTACTCCCTTTGAGCTTCATACACCAAGTTCCAAGTTTTACTGCGTTTCATTTATCTAAATTACTTGAATTGAACGGTCTGTTAATCACATTTGCATCTTTTATTTTCAATATTTGCTTTGTGCAATTGTTTGTTGGGTCTGTGTTAACATAAGAGCTTAAAAACTTGAATAGTTTCATATCCTTAATTTTTTTTTTTTTTCCCCTTTTAAGTCTTCAATTCATGTGCTTTTGACTTGAATCAGTATGCTCCCCTGTGTTTTTAATTTTATTCTATAGATGGATGTCAATTAAACCATTTTGAAGACTCAAAGTCACTGACAGACGCCAAAAGGACAAGATCTTCTTGCTGTGACTTATTTTGTTAAATTGGAAAAATTATGTGTCATAATTAGTAGCATTTGTCTTCAGTATGATTCCTGGCTTCAAACTGCTAAATGCAAACATCTATTAGACAAGTTGTCAGGAAAGCCTTCATTCAATGATAACTAGTTTAATGCACAAGCTTGCTTGATCCATAAAAATACATAAATGTAGCTGATGTGATATTCCATGTTTAGGGTCTTTCCTAATCCTAAGACAGGATGCAAGTAGACTGTGAACTGTTACTGTTCAAAAGTGGCCTCTTCTTCCATGCCTAGTTTTCAATACATTGCATTTTGGGTGCTACTAATGATTTTTTCTCTATGTTTTTCACTTTGTTGTCAAATGTTCTTGTCAGATTGTGTTTGCAATCCTGTTTTCCAATTCTAATTTTCGCCAAATTGCTTTTTCAGCAGCCGTCTTAGATCACCTTGGTCTCGCCGAAGAAGGAAACGTGTCCTTTCACCTCAAAAATGGAGAAGTTTATTTACATCTGATGGTAGACTCCTAAATGATGGAGTCAAGTTCGTGAAGAGAGTTAGAAGTAGGGTGAGTTATCATTAACCTGTTAGTACTCTCTTGTTCTATTATATTATAAACAGAATGTTTAACCTCTTGTGTTATAAATTGTGATCTAGGGTGTTGATCCAAGTATTAGAGCTGAAGTCTGGCCGTTCCTCCTTGGAGTGTGAGTGAAATCAACCTAGATTTAAGATTGATTTTTTTCCTTTCTACTTTTGCTGCTTCTTTCCGTTTCCAGGACTATGTTCTTGTAATTCTGATACTGAAGTTTGTGGGATCTTAAATCTCCTAGCATTTTGTTAGGAGTTTTTGGTCCTTGAGACATTTAGGAAAGGATTTACACATCCTCTCCACCCAACCCAAGCCAAATAATTGTGAATTGGTTTTGGATTTTCCACAAAGAAATAGATCACTGGTGCATGCTTGCAGAAACATGTTGTCTTACACTCTAGATTTCTTTATTTTGTGTCTCACTTCTTTTTTCTTTCTGACAGCTATGACCTTAACAGTTCGAATGAAGAAAGAGATATCATTAAAACCCAGAACAGGTACCATGTCTGCCCAAAAATTTCAATCTGTAGTTTATATTTATGCCATCACTTACTACTCCCTTGTTTACCTCTTTAGTCTATTGCATCGTAAATCTTTTATGCAATCTATGGGTGCAGACAGCGATATGAGAAATTCCGCAGAGTCTGCAGGCGATTACCAAAACACGGCACTAGGAGTTTTAAGTTGAATGAAATTGAGAGGGCTTTTCAAAATGAGGACTGTGGACATATCATTCAGGATAGAGAATCATGTAGCTCTGACGATGTAGTTAGTGCTCGGGAATCTCTTTCTAGTGAGGAAAGGAGCCCAGATGCTGAGCACTCAGATGAACCCTCCATTGCTTTTCTGGAAGGAGATGATGGTTCAAGAAGAGTGACTAGTGCTGATGTATCAGCACTTAACAGTGAGTCATCTGATTCAGACTCCTCAGAGGACCCTGATGTGATACGGGGTTCTCTCTCTTCAGAAGGCAGGGTGGAGAATGATCCTGACATGCATCCCCAAGAGAATGTTTCTCCCTCAAGCACTGAAGGCCAGTCAAAACTACATGTAACTGAAGATTTTTCCAGCTGGCAACGGATCATCCACCTTGATGCTTTACGTGCTAGTGCTGACTGGGTATCATATTCTCCATCTCAGGCTTCTGTATCAGATGCTAGGGCACGACGTTCGGCAGAGGCAGTTGGGCTTAAAGATTATGATCACCTGGAGCCTTGCCGAATTATGCACGCTGCCCGGCTAGTTGCTATTCTCGAAGCCTATGCACTTTATGACCCTGAAATTGGCTATTGCCAGGGCATGAGTGATTTACTCTCTCCAATAATTACAGTCATTACTGAGGATCATGAGGCTTTCTGGTGTTTTGTGGGCTTTATGAAGAAGGCTAGGCATAATTTTAGGCTTGATGAGGTGGGGATCAGAAGACAACTGAATATAGTGTCCAAGATAATCAAATGTAAGGATTCTCACCTCTATAGACACCTGGAGAAACTCCAGGCCGAGGATTGCTTTTTTGTATATAGGATGGTGGTGGTACTGTTCAGGAGGGAATTGACATTTGAACAGACAATATCACTATGGGAGGTAATGTGGGCAGATCAGGCAGCCATCAGGGCTGGGATCGGGAAGTCTGCATGGAGTAGGATAAGGCAGCGAGCACCACCAACAGATGATTTGTTGCTCTATGCCATTGCAGCTTCAGTGTTGAAGAGGAGGAAATTGATCATAGAGAAGTACAGCAGCATGGATGAGATTTTAAGAGAGTGCAACAGTATGGCGGGGCATCTTGACGTATGGAAACTCCTAGATGATGCACATAACTTGGTGGTCACGCTCCATGATAAGATCGAGACTTCCTTCTAACACTTCTAGTGCATTTAGTCTACAAATTTCACATGTTTTAGCTCCTAAATCAACTTTGCTGCTCCGGGTATTTCAAGTCTTTTTCAGTTCACTGCTTGAAATGGTATCCCACTGAGATTGTTTGCTTACTATCCTGCTGTCCACTGCTAAGAAAAACGGTGGGTTTAGCAAAAAAAAGCCAGTAAAAAATTGCTTATTTATATATGTCTGTACTCTGTTATTCTCTGAAGTAAGGTGAATAGGTTGGATATGACTTATTAAACCCATATT